AAACCCAGGGCCTTCCCTGTCCCAGGTCCAGCGGAAGTTTTGTGAATCACAGTGGAACTAAAACTGGAACTTGGGGTATACCTACACTGCAATAAAAGACCCACAGAATGGCCACAGCTGGCCTGGGTCAAGTGACTTGGACTCACAAGGTTCAGGCTGTGGGACTATAAAACTGCAGTAGACATTTGGGCTCAGGCTGGAGCCCAGACCCTAAGACTCCACTCAATTTTATAGCCCTGCAGCCCAAACCTCATGAGCCCCAGTCAGCTGACCTGGTCTCTAAGATTCAGTGCAGTGGCTTTTTTTTTTTAAATCACAGTGTAGACATACTATTAGACATTGTGGCCTTAGCACCTTTGTGGACCTGAGCCTTAGTGACTATGTACCAGATCTTTGACCTCCAAGCTAGGCTCAGTCCTTGCCCCTTTAGTCCCAAAGCTACCACTACCCCTCCTGCAGGGGTGGGCGTGGGGTATAAAGAAACCTAAGCCTGCCCTCTCCTCTGTATGCCACACCAGGGACCCTGTGATAAGTAGCTAGCAGATGTTTTTTAGAATCCTTCAAAGGTTCCCTAGGCTGCTTCCTACCTTTACCTGTTTGCAGCATCTGCTATGAAACTGCACTCTCCAGTCCTCTCTCTCCCTGGGATTTCATATGCCCATACAGCTTCTCCCCATTTATTGCTGAGAAGCTCTCTCAGCATAGCTCCTAGCCCAGGGGTGGGCAAACTTTTTGGCCTAAAGGCCACATCGGGGTTGCGAAACTGTATGGAGGGCCAGGTAGGGAAGGCTGTGCCTCCCCAAACTGCCTGGCCCCCGCCCCCTATCTGCCCCCTCCCACTTCCTGGACCCGACTGCCCCCCTCATGACATCTGACCCATCCAACCCCACCCCCTATCCAACCCCCCTGCTCCCTGTCCCCTGACTGCCCCGACCCCTATCCACACCCCCAACCCCTGACTGCCCCCCTCAGAATCCCCAACCCATCCAACCCCCTCCTGCTCCTTGTCCCCTGACTGCCCCCTCCTGAGACCCCCAGCCCTAACTGCCCCCCCAGGACCCCACCCCCATCCAACCCCCCTGCTCCCTGTCCCCTGACTCCTATCCACACCCCCACACAGGCCCCCTGAGACTCCCACACCTATCAACCGCCCCCTGCTCCCTGACTGCCCTATCCCCATCCACACACCTGCCCCAACTGCCCCCTGGGACTCCACCCCCTATCCAACCCCCCCGCTCCCTGTCCTGTCTGCACCGACCCCTATCCACACCCCCGGCCTCTGACAACTGCCCCAGGACTCCCATGCCTGTCCAACCTCCCCATTTCCTGGCCAGCCCCCCCCAGAACCTCCACCCCATCCAACTGCCCCCTATCGCCAACTGCCCCCAGGACTCCCTGTCCCTTATCCACCCCCCCTCCCCCCATGCTGCTCAGAGCAGCAGGAGCTCGCAGCCCACCGCCCAGCCAGAGCTGGGCACGCAACCCCATGCTGCCCAGCAGGAGCGGCGGGCCAGAGTGCTGGTGGCATGGCAAGCTGAGGCTGCAGGAGAGGGGGGACAGCAGGGGAGGAGCTAGTGGCTAGCCACCCCGGCCAGGCAGGACAGTCCTGTGGGCCACAGTTTGCCCACCTCAATCCCAGCCTCTCAGGGAGGCCCCTGGTCTGGTTTGGTTTGGTTTGGTTTGGCTCTCCTCCCCTCCCAGGGCCACCTCATAAGATTTCCTTTCTCAGTCCTGCCCTGCAGCCCTTGCTTTATAGGAACCACCTGGGGTAGTTCTCCTCAGCTGAGTCTACTCCTTAATCAAAGGCCATCTTGATTATAACTACAAAAGTTTTTTTTCTCCTGCTGATAATAGCTCATCTTAATTAATTAGCCTCTTAGAGTTGGTATGGCAACTTACACCTTTTCATGTTCTCTGTATGAATACGTATCTTTTTACTATATGTTCCATTCTATGCATCTGATGAAGTGCGCTGTAGCTCACGAAAGCTTATGCTCAAATAAATTTGTTAGTCTCTAAGGTGCCACAAGTACTCCTGTTCTCCTTAATTGCCTGTCTCCCACCCATGTCAGAGAATGAGCTAATATGGCTTTCCACACCCCTTAAAACTATGGCATTTGCAGATGCCATCACATTTAGGTTTCCAACATTTGAGTTTTTTCCTTTTATTGCTCATGTTTCTGAAAGGTAATGTCCTCTCAAACTAGTGATATGTGCCTGCAACTTTAATGTTACCTGGAGCTTTGTCATTGGCTTTAGTATGAGCAGAAGCAGGATCTGAGAGGTGAAACACATGAAGTGAACTGAAGAGAAGAATCTGTTTGTTTGTCAGTGTGAAAGACTTGTTAGTAAGGATTCCAATCTTGGTTCCTCTCACCTCAAATATAACCATTGGTTTTATGCAAAAGTTCCATATGCAATTTAACCTCTTTGTTTGTGGCCAATTAGCCTGAAGTTCAGAAATTTTTGTGATGTTAAAAATGTGTCATAAATGGAAAAACTAACGTAAGCATAAAGGCAGTTTAAATAAAGATAAAAATGTAAACAGTGCCTGCTTTATTGTATGATTAGTAATTCCATCTGTTTGGGGTCTTTTGTAGAGAATGGATTTGGAGGGGAAGGGAGAGTTTTTCATAGTTTTAAGCCATGTAAAATTCATAAAAATATTTCAGAGTAAACAAATCTAAAATAATCTGCATCTTTTCCACGGAGGAAGTACTTAAATAGTTCTGCTCTCCAACAGAGCTGTTCTACTCTGTGCATTGTAGTCCTGTGTAATGAGGCTAAAAGTTAAAGTAGAATAAATTATTACACTACCTCTTCCTCCTCTGCGAACTCCTACTCCCATTTTTGGTAACTTCATTTTTCCCACTGATGACCTGCCAAACCTTGCTGCCTCCCACTTTCCTCTCTTGATCCACCACTTTTGACCTGCCTCTGGATTAAGTCTCACACTCACTGACAGGGTCACTCCTTGGACCTTGTCTTCACTAATCCCTCTCAGATTTCATACTGAGTTCCATTTCTCCTTATCTCCTTGAATATCACTCACTCTCCCCTCTTGAAGAGTGACACAGCAGCCACTCTAGAGCTCAGACAGGCCTAAACTTTGACCTAAATGTCTAAACAATGAGATTGCTAATCAAATAGCATTCGTAATAGGGATGAGCCCCTTTCTCCTGTGTTAGCAGGCTCTGGCACAGTGGCTGAACAGTGTGAAAGAAGGGCAGTGCTGTTCTGCACCCATTCCTTGTGAGCAAGGTGGAGTTCAGGTCCCCCAAGCTGCCACTGGAAGATTATACTATATGCATCCATCTGGTTGGTGGAGCCCTTGTACAGTATGACCACAACTGTAGCAGGGGCATAGAGTCCATTATCTGGGTCACTGCAAAAAAAAAAAAGAGCAGGTTTTAGGGTTCCATGGTGAGGGAGGAGAGTACTTATCTTCCTTCCCCCACACCCAATTACCAGATTGATGAGTCTGCTCTCTTCACTGACACAGAATTTGGTCTAAAGGGGGGAGGGTCATTTGATTAGCTTTTTTTCTTCTCCAGCTTTCACTCAGTCTGTGATGAAACTACTCCCCCAAGTGAGACTGTATAGCAGGAGGTGGGGTGGATGCTCTGACTCCACGCTGGGGTTGGGTTTTGGCAGTCTCACAAGATAAACATTTCTAAGCTGCTGCACCTGAAGTGTTTTAGGTGCCAAGTCCCATTTTGAAAAATGACTCAGGCATTTAGGTGCCCAAGACTACTTGAACGTCAACGCAACTTAAGCTCCTGAGTCACTTTTGGATCTTAGGATCTTAGGTCTGGTCTACACTACAGATCTATATCGGTATAAATATGTCGCTCAGGAGTGGGAAAAATCCACACCCCTGAGTGACACAGTTATACCGACCTAACCCCCTGTATAGACAGTGCTAAGCTGGTGAGAGAGCTTCTCCCATTGACATAGTTACCGCCTCTCAGGGAGGTGGATTAGCTACACCAGCGGGAGAACTCTCTCCTGTTGGCTTACAGCATCTTCATTAAAGCACAACAGTGGCACCGATGCAGCATTTTAAGTGTGCCCTTAGGCTCTTAAGTTGCTACGGGTATGTATACACAGTGAGCGGTAGCCTGCAGCAGCAAGTCCACCGACTTGGGCTCAGGGGGCTCACACTATGGTGCTAAAAATAGCTGTGTTGATGTTGTAGGTCAGGCTGGAGCTTGGGCTCTGCAGCCCACCCCCACTCTCTAGGCTTCAGGGCCCCAGCTGCAATGTCTACACAGCTATTTTCAGGGCTGTACCTGTCGACCTGGGCTCCGAGGCTCACTGCTACAGGCTGCCACTCGCTGTGTAGATATACCCTTAGGTGCTTTTGAACATTTTACCCATAACTTCTGTGTGATTGCCCTGACAACCCTTCACGATCCAAGCAGGACTTCATACCTTCAGAGCTCTGCTGGGACACACAGCTCTAATGACAGGTTTCAGAGTAACAGCCGTGTTAATCTGTATTCGCAAAAAGAAAAGGAGTACTCGTGGCACCTTAGAGACTAACCAATTTATTTGAGCATGAGCTTTCGTAGCTCACAAAAGCTCATGCTCAAATAAATTGGTTAGTCTCTAAGGTGCCACGAGTACTCCTTTTCTTTTTACACAGCTCTAAGTATCTCCCCTTCACAGAGCAGGTTTGAGCCCCTGTAAGCCAGAGATAAAACTTTTCACAGGGGTAGGGTTGTTCTAAGCCCAGAAATAAGAGGGGCAGGAACTCTTTTTAGCAACTTGGTCTTCCAAATAAATAAAAGTGAAAGAGTTAAATTATTACACTGTGTAACTCCATTGACTTAAAAACAGGTAAAGATACACATGGAATTTCCATTTCTTATCTTCTTACTCAAAAAACCTTTAACCTGAACATATGAAAGGCCCTGCCAAAAACAGTTAATCACACTGGGAGGAAATGTAACTAAGCTATCACAATCTCTGTGACTAAAAGCGGAAGAAAAAACGTTTGTGGTTTCTCTAAAGAAACGGGTTTAAAATTTACCCTTCCAACAGTCTTCTCGGTCTCCAAAGAGTGTTATAATTAATCAGTGTACAAGACTCTCTCATCATGCTACATTAACCTTACCGAGGATTTGAGACTAGGAACAAGAGAAGCAAAGCAGCAAAAGAAAAAGTGAAAGGAAGATGATACATTAAAAAGCATATTCGTGCACAAGGTGAGTATTCCTCTGTTTACACCACCAGCCATTGTTGCAAATGTCTCAGACATGTCCTCTCCTCTATTTACTTTGGGCTTGATTCTGCAAGGTGCTGAGCAATCTGGCCTCAATCCAGCACAGCAATTAAGCATGTGCTTAACTTTAATGAGTGATCCCACTGATCTGCTCAAATTCTATGTTTGTTCAGAGACAGATTCCTTAGCACCTTGCAGCACCAAGTGCTTTAACTGCAACAGTGTCTCCCTCCTTGCAATCTGCCATTGCAGTTTAGCTCCTCTAGCTTCTTTTAGGGTTCACCCATATCTGCTACATATTGATGGTAAATGTTAGCTTGAAAGCTCTTTTCAGGGGAAGGCTGTCCTTATTTTTATTGACGTGCACACTTCTGAGCAGATGATGAACACTTAAATACAATATTATTTATTGTATTTGTCACGCAAGGAGTTTCTCCTTTTATTGTTATGGTTGAATATACTGTACTTATTTAAAATGATCACCCATGCACCAGCAAAAATTGGTAGCCTAGAAATGGTGCTCTTTAACCAAAGGGCAAACAAAAGAGTACAAGAAGTCCCAGGGATGCTTTAAAGCAGAGATTGAAGGCCAGGGAGGTGATTCTTAGTGCACGTTTCCCCATATTTCTGTTTCAAAGGCCATTTTGATTTTTCTTTCAGACTTTAACCAACTGACTTTATAGTCATTTGGTTGAATTTTAATCAGGGAAGTATTCATTTGTTTTATTATAAGTGATTCTAAATGACATGGGTGTGTGTAATGACTGGTCAACCGTACTGCTTCTTGCTGGTTCCTGGTGTTGGGCTAAGTGTCTGGTAGTCTCTGTACTACAAGTATTGAAGGTATTTGATTTGTTCTAAAAAGCATGAACAGAAGCGAAAAGCATCTGTGAACATTCTCTGAATAAAGATTAGTGGTATTTGCCACCTCTTTATATCTCTTTCCACAAATGTTCACATGAATACAATTTGGTTGCAGACAGAAAAAGTATCACAAATATTAGAGCAAATATTGGCTGATAATATGTGCCAGATTGTGGCCTCACTGAAAGCTCTTTGAAAGTCACTATTCAGGAATCCTACACAACTGTGATTTAGGTAGCCAAATAGCAAATTATGACCAGGCAGCATTTTAAGTGATAGTTAGTCCACAGGTTAAAATGTGTTTGACTAAAATATTTGTGGAATAAATAACTAACAAATTCATTAAAAAGTTAAGTCATGTGGTGGATTATTTGTGAAGAGAAAAAGGGGATACATTCCTCAGCTAAATTGTTCACTGTGAATAGTCCACCCAGCTGTATGTGTACAGGCTGTACAAAAAGAAATGCGGGTGGACAAAGAAATGCAAGAGAATGCTTGTTTACTGATGGCTTGCTAATGTCAGTGATGTAGGAATTGTTAATTCAGTGAGGTTGCCTGGGGTGTGAGGGAGGGCAGAATGTGGCTCACAGTCTTAACTGTGTCAGGTTTCAGAGTGGTAACCTGGTTAGTCTGTATCAGCAAAAATGACCAGGAGTCTTTGTGGCACCTTAGAGATTAACAAATTTATTTGGGCATAAGCTTTTGTGGGCTAGAACCCACTTCACAAAAGCTTATGCCCAAATAAATTTGTTAGTCTCTAAGGTGCCACAAGGACTCCTCGTTGTTTTAACTGCATCAGTTTGCCGAATCAAGCTGTTGAATGCAAAGCAGCGTATGGCCCAAAAAATCTCTAGCAAAGCACATGAGCAAGTAATCATAACATGGCAAAGTGCAATGAAGCAATGTTTCTTGTGTTTATCTAAAAGCATTGCTCAGCTTGACAGCTTTACGATTCACAACTTGTTTTCATGAAGGTACAAGACGGGATGGTAGTCACACAGCCATAATACAGGTTCCAGAGTAGCAACTGTGTTAGTCTGTATCCGCAAAAAGAACAGGAGTACTTGTGGCACTTTAGAGACTAACAAATTTATTTGAGCATAAGCTTTCGTGGGCTACAACCCACTTCATCGGATGCATAGAGTGGAACATATGATAAGAAGATATATATATACACACATACAGAGAACATGAAAAGGTGGAAGTAGCCATACTACAGCTTGACTCAATGCATGTAAACAGCAAAAGGCAGACCCTCAGCTAGTAAAAGTTAGCTGCCCTGAGTTATACCCATGGAAGGTCTGGCTCCCGAGGTAAGACAGCAGACAACACAGGAGCAATAACATTTTCAGTCCTGTTCACAGCAATAAGGCTTCCTTTAAAATAAATTGTATTGTTTCATGGGGGCAGTTCTAGCAAGCATTCAAAATATTAAAGCATCATAGAAACAGTAAACAAGACATTCCAGAAGAAGAAATAGCATGACAGGATGACAATGAGGCTAAGTATCTGGAACATGACATCTTTTTGTTTGCTTCTCCAGAAAAACAACTCTTAAAACCAGATAATGTTTGTGCTTGCTTTAACAGACCAGGGGTCCACATCCTCAAAGATACTTAGGCTCCTAACTTATTTCAGTAGATATTAGGAGGGTCTCTGCCAGGTAGCCTTAGTCTGGCTATTTGGGGCTGCCACTCCCAAAACCTGCATCTCATAATCAATCTTGATTACATGTACAGTTCTTTGAAAAGACTAGACTATCAAGCAAAAGGCCTGTCTGCTATCTGTACTCGCTATAAATGAATATAAAGACAATATGCTGGTCTCAAGCTCTGAATATGGTTACACAGGGCAGTAAGACAGCGACACTGCCTTCACTCGAAGACATATGACCAATTATATTAAAGGTCACACTTAGTTGCCTAGTCCACAAAGAAACACAAACTTGCAGGGGTTATTATAGACTATGTCCAGCTGCTGCAGTAGCACCCTAGATGCATCAAAAAATACAGGGCCAGTCGCTGCCAATGTAAACAGGCACAGCGCTAATGATTGCCAGGGACTTTCATCCATTTATGCCATCCGATAATCTGGCCCATAATAATCTACCCAGAGTAATCATTACTAATGATTAATCTGACCCCCAACACACACTCAGCAAATTGGGCAAAAGAACATCTCCATTATTAGATTATGTTTTGAAACAAATTGACTATGGCTGGCTTTGCTTTGACTGAGTTCTCCACTTTAGTGTTAGCATTTTGCAAACATTCTACCAAACAAATGTAGCAGCAGGAATGTTACTGGAAACAAACAAACGTTGGCAGAAAGCAGATCTCAAATCTGTAATCGTAAACATTCAAATTTATGGTTAGACTACAGTTAAGCTCACTCAGCCAGGGAACAGGCCTATGGCCTGTGTGGCCAAACAAAGCTGCTCAAAAAGCAAATCGTGACTATCAGCAGGGGCGGCGAGTTATATGGGTCCGTGGTGCCCAAGGTCCAGCAATATTCAGGGCCTGGGGGCCCGGCTCCACCAATGTTTGGGGTCGGGTCTCTCCCCGGACCCCGCCTGCCGCCCCCACACGCCTCCCTCGAGTGTCCCCTGGCCCCCACTTGCTGCCCCCGCACTCCTACCCCGGCCCCTGAGCGTCCCTGCCCTCTCCCCTGCAGCTCCACGCTGCCTCCGCTCTGCTGACTCCCGGCATCAACTGCCGCCTAAGGGTACTAGTGCCAGGGCAGGCTGACCCTGACCCTGCCCTTCCGCCTCGGCCCCTTCCATTTTCCAGCGGGACCCTCCACCAGCACTGGGAGCCCCCTGCCCACAGTCACCGCTCCTGCCCCATGCTGGGCAAGGGGCAGCCCCATCCCCCGCCCCCAGTGAGGCTACACTGAGGGGTGGCAGCAGCAGGGGAGGAGGCGCACACATGATGGCAGCCCCTCCCCCTGCCACGTACCCACCACAGGGGAGGCGAGGGAGATTCCTGGACCTGAGAGGGGCCTTAGGAACAGTGACAGTAATGCAAGGTGAGTGTGCTGCCGGGGAGGGTTGGGAGAGGGGACCCCCAGAGCTCACTGCAGCCTGCGGGAAGAGGGCTGGGGGGAGTCCTCCTCTCTGGCCTGCCTGCACCCCAAACTCCTCATCCCCGACCCCACCCCAGAGCCCACACCCCCAGCCAGAGCCCTCATCCCTCCACACCCTAACCCTCTGCCCCAGCCCTGAGCCCTCTTCTGCATCGTGAACCCCTAATCCCTGGCCCCACCCAACGGCCCTCACCCCATACCCCAACCCTCTGCCCTAGCCTGAGCCCCCTTCCATACCCACACACCACAGCCCTCACCCCTGCACCCCAACCATCTGCCTGAGCTCCTCCCACACCCCAAACCCCTTATCACCAGCTCCACTCCACAGCCCTCACATTTTTACATTATTTTAAAAAACATATATTGGCTTACAAGGCAGGTGTGGGGGGGGGTGGGACTTGTACCTGTTCTGGGCACTACCAAAAATTATACAAACCTGCCGCTCCTGACTATCAGATACCTAAAACAGTGCTTACGTGGTGAACAGTTCATAAACAGTGCACAGGTTGACGTATGTGTGCACAACATATAATTTTCAACAGCAAACCATTGTTCATTTGTGCCCAGAAATAGGGCTCTATTTGTCAAATGCATTATTTGATGTGGATCATTTGCCCAGCTCTGCTCAGACTCATCAATGCTCCCAACCTCAGATCTCTCATCCCCCTTGTATATCATTCCCTGCCCACTCCCCATATACCTACTGCAGAGGGGAATAAGTAGTGTGCACCCACTTATCCCTGTGCATTTAGACCCAAGGACTGGGTGGTCCGTGCAAGGCTCTGAGAGAGATTTTTACTCCCATCTGATCCCCTTTGTGGGTGCATAGAGCCCAGGTTACAATCTAGCCCATAGTGTCATCTCATACTCCTTGTAAGCTGATGTGATAGAAGGCCCTGTTTTTAAAGAGGCAGACATTTTAAATTAATTTTGTTGCTGCAAATTACAGAGTTGAATAAAGGAATTCTTTTGTGAGTGGGTTGCGGAGAAAGTCTAGGACAGGGAGAGCTGGGCTGGGGGTGGGAGTCTGGAGCT